TTGAACCAAATTGTTAAAAAGCTAAGCAAAATGCAGCTTGAAGTAATATTTCGTAGAAACACATATTGTGGCGAAAAGGTGTCGGTATATAATGTATTTATATTTTTTCTACCAAATCTGATTCCAGTGGGGATTCTTTTTACGAAATTATTTAATAAAACGAATTAAAAACCCGGATATATTTCAGCAAACAATTATGTTTCAGAAAATACTTAGAAAAAGGCAAGGGTAAAGTTTCTAACCACTATTAAAAAATCATCTGGTCCCAAAGTTGTTAAATATTTATTAGATCTAATGTTTGCTTCACTATTAGATACAAATAGCTTTGAACTTATTCCATTTAATTGTCTTTTAAATAAAAGCCATTTCTAATTTTAATAGTTTTATTCCATTTTTGACTTTCATTTCTGACTATCTGTAAGCGTTATCAAAACGAGAAAAAGTAAAAGCGAATATCGAGTCTAACCGGGATTTTTCAATTCGCCTTTTTCGAATAACTCGGAAATCGGTTTTGTTTTGCAAATCATCAACCGAACAGCCTAATGCATACACGCATACATACAATCCGCGCGCCTTCGACATTTATCTCGCCACTTCAGCTCACCACTTGGCTATGCTTATTCCAGTATGTTTGTATGTACATATTTTCCCGCCTCTGATTGCCGCTCGTTTCTGCTCCTTCGGTGCGTCTGTTATTCGTCTTTATTTGTTTTGATTGGAATTTTTTGTTTTATTTATTTATCATTTTGCTTCTAGGCGATGCCTCTTTGCATTTGTTAACGCCCCGCTTTACATCTCGCACCAACGCAGACCGACTGATCAACTGAATGGAATAAAATAAAATAAGGAAAATAAGCGACACAATTAATTGTTGCAAACATTATAGGCAAACCAGTGTACGAGCGTGCTTGTCTTCCACCTTAGCCGCCCGATTTAATTTTCTGTTCTTTGCATATTAACGCGCTGGTCGTTGTAGTTCGATCTAAATAACTTCCGATAGGTAAGTGATCCGTGATCCGTGATCCGCATACTGGAAGTGCTTGCTCCACGGCAACGCAACAAAACCAAACGGCTAAAAGTTAAACCTCCTGCAGTGCTCCTCTTCTCTAACTATACTGGCTGTGCCATTGCGGTCGTTGCCGTTGTTGATTTGCGCGCGCGAACCAAGTTTGGGACGCCTTTAAATCTGATAACATTGAGTGAAACACGTGATCATCGCCTTGAAGTGTGCTAAGAGGCCAAAGGGGGCCAAAGGGGGCCAAATCCCACATTTCTCGGCTTTTTTTTGTTTTGTTTTGATTCCGAGTATTTGTTTTTGAGTTTGTGTTTTGTGCATGTATTTGGCTTGTGAGACGCCACTAGGTTGTTTACGAAAATCGACTACAAAAATAAGTGAAAATCGGTGACACACTTTTGTAGCAAAACCGGCAAATCATGCTGCAACCTCAAACTACCGGTCAGTTGGCAGTTTCGAAGTTTAAAAATAAAGAAACAAACGTAACCAGTTCCTTTAAATATTGAAACAAATGTACATACAATACGTAAATAAATTGTGTTGATTCAGAAAAATTAAAGCGATACCGCCCACTCACAACAAACAGAATCAAAGTGTATAAAGTGCGTGACTCACAAAAGCTGCTTGGAAATCCCCAAAATGTTATTGTTTTAGCGTGGTATATACATACGTAGATATGTACCTACGTCTGTATGTATGCTAGAATATGAATTGTTCCATTATATATTTGTATATGCATTTCTAGATTTTTATGTGCCCAACGTGAGACACAATGGGTTGCGAATTGAATAACTTCCGCTCAGTTTACAACTATGACCAGGTCACATCCTTTCCCAAATATTAATCTTTGTATGCTGCCTTTTCGTATACATATATATTGAACTATCTTTGTACCAAAAAAGTCCCTGATCTAATTTTTTGATCTCAAAAAATCTAAACCCCAAAATTAAAACATTTAATGTCATCACAACTTCCTAAGATCCATGTACGAAAAGTGTGTTACGTGGATCACCAAATATAGCTCGAAAATTTGATTCCCTTGGGAAAAGTTATACTTATCTATTTTTGAATCGTCTTCGCTTTCCATTTCAATGTGCAGATTTATGTATCGTCATAACTCAAAAAAGCAACCCTCGAGATAAATATAAAAAGACCCTAACTAACACAGTGTCGGCCGCTGTGGTGTAGTGGTAAGCAGTGTGCGTTTCCACTCCGGAACGCCTGGGTTCAAGCCCTGGTCAAAGCAACATCGCAAAAAAATATAGAAAAAAGGTTTTTTCTTAACAGCGGTCGTCCCTCGGCAGGTAATGGCAAACCTCCGAGTGTATTTCTGCCATGAAAAACAGCTTCTCATAAAAATACATTCGGAGTCGGCATAAAACTGTAGGTCCCTCCGCTTTGTGTGACAACATCAAGGCGCACGCCGCAAATTGGAGGAGAAGCTCGGCCAAACACTAACATATGTGTAAGCGCCAATCTATTATTATTATTATCTTACATAGTGTTCGTCCGATACCACCATGTACTCGATGCCTGTACTCATTAAAAGTATAGAAAAAATACTCGATGCTATTCAAAGTATCTCCAGGGAATACTCGATTCTACTTGTACTCAAAAGTACTCAGACGAGAAATTTTAGTTCAACGACCGTTTACAATATAACAACATACAGAGGAGAAAGGCTTATGAAGAGCGGAAAACTGCCTTTTAATATCCTCCTATTTTGAAATGAAATGGTGTTACTTGAAAGTACTGAAACAGGAGTCGTTAAGAAATGAGAAAGCTAATCGCTTACTTGTGTTTGATTCTTCTGTTTCAAAACGAATTCTAGACGATGCTTCCGAAAATCTCACGCTGGCTCCACATCCTACCCTAACTACGACATATTGTTTTCCATTTTCCTGCGTTTTTTTTTTTTTAGTTTTAATCCTAGCAAAATCAAGTGATTAACATCTTGAATCGTTATTTTTTTTCAAAAACTACAACACAGACCTATTTTCAGTTGATTTTCCCAAATTTAGCAAAGAAGTAAATACTAGCAGGTTGTACTCGATACCCATGAAGTAATTGCACACGCGTAGCGAAGTACAAAAAGTACTCGGTACTTTGTAGAGGTACTCGAGTATTAACTTCTAAGTACTGGTATCGCCAGGTTTAGGGGCCGTATAATAGCGGCGTGTGCAAAGAAATTCCGGGTTGTATTTCCCTTATAAGAGTTACTAAATCAAACTTATAAATAGGTACATATAATATTTTAGGACTTTAAATAACAAGAAAAAAATCATTCGCCTTTAGACTAGTCCCTCGGCAGGTAATGGCAGACCTCCGAGTGTATTTCTGCCATGAAAAAACAGCTTCTCATAAAAATGCAATCGCCGTTCGGAGTCGGCGTAAAACTGTAGGTCCCTCCGCTTTGTGTGACAACATCAAGGCGCACGCCAGAAATTGGAGGAGAAGCTCCTCATAATTTTCAAAAATTCATTTCTACCAGGCAAAAGTACCAAAATGGGGCATTTGTGAACAAAAGAGTATCTAAGTATCAAATCACAAAATTTAGAAAAAAAATGTATCAAAAATGATACAATTGTATCAAAACGGCAACGATGATAAACAGCGCAAACGAACGAGCCTACGACATTGATGGCAATAGTAGAGAAAAGAAGCTACATGCAGCCTTAAATTTGCGATGTAGGGAAAAAATTACAGACTTTCAATATTAACTTAAATTCTGAAATTGTTTCTTTTTTTACAAAATTTTCTTTCTGTTCTAAGATTTAAGGTATGTACTTTGAACATATGTATTTACTCATTTGACCCAAGCTTGCTCAATGCCATTTTTACCGCGTATTCATTCATTCACATTTTTCCACGCCCAGGTACAATTTACGCGATTATATTGTTATAAATAACACAAAATGAGAGTCTGAATAAAGGAGCGAGGTTTGTAAGTTGCTTCTAATGTTTAGGATAAAAGATGAATTTGTAAAAGATTGTTTGTTTCATTTCGATATACATATAAAAAAAGATATGTAGGGAAACTTCTAGGAAAAAATTATATTTGCGTAGGGAAAAGAAGAGATTTTCTTGAGACGCGGTATGGATCTTTTAAAAAATTTATTGGCATCACTGACGTACAAAAGCGATCGTCCGTGGCAAGAGCGCTGGTGCAGAAAATCATTGCGCGCAATCTCTTGACAAGGGAAACGTAGGCAATGCTTTCGCTAACGATCGTTTGCTCAAGTATTTATCGCGGTAAAATACAATCGCAAAATGAGCTAATATGAGAAGATCGTATTTTTAATCGTTCGCGAGCGTTCGTTGGTAGAGCATGGGTAAAAAAAATCTTTGAATTTAGTATATTTTGATACGAAGAAGGCAGGTTAATCGCTTTTATTAGCTTGGGATGTAACTATGTAATATTAATGCGCCTAAAAGATGCAGCGATTTCCATTCTCAAGCTAAATAGTAGCCAGTGTTGCCATTTTAGCCCTTTTCCGACTAGATTTAGCCGGTTGCGATAGCAAACAGCCGGAGAAATTTCGATTTAGCCGGCAGCCGATTTTTTAGCCGTTTTGCAGAAAAAAATTAGCCGTTTTTAGCCGATTTTGCTATTTGCATTGTTTTCTTAAATTTCAAATATGTATATACATATGTTTCCATTTTTGACTAAGCGACCCAAAATCTGTTAGAAATGGCTACTAGCCTTATCGTGGAGAAAATTTTCATGTCAGACAGGGTTGTATGAAATCGGGCCGACTTCGCTTATTTTTATTTTAAACGAGAAAAGGGATTTTCTTCATAAAATGTTTGTTATAAATGTGTTAATTTTAAGTGTGAAGTTTTATTCGCAAACTTAGAAAATAAGAAATTGATTCACTGTTAAGACACTTAAGATGCGTTTGTGTTTGGATATAGTGCCAACAAACAGAATAAATATTACATGTATGTAGATATTGTCTTCCCAGATAGCGCATATTCAATTCTGCCTAAATTATAAAACATCATATTTGCCCACTCCCAAAGGCTTAAGGTAAGGGAGAAATTGATATTTTCAAGCACTATGTACACATATGTATTTTTTTAAACAAACTGTTTTGCTGAGAACTTATTTAAATTCCAAAAACCGAATGCCAACTTGAATTAAAGAAACCAACACTGAAGTGAGTCAAAATGAAAATAAAAGAGCACAAAATTCTATGTAAAGAAAAACTCTCTGGGAATCCTACGAGACACCTGCCGGTCATATGACCGGTCTTCTAAATGGGAGATCTGCAGTCTTTTGGCATCATATTTTACATCAGAATTGAAGGGATTTCTGAAAAATCTGACTAGTTCTTTTGTGTAACTGTGATTTTGTATCCCTTGTCAACATATGGCCTCGGTTGATGTTAACTTAAGGTCGTTGTTTTACTGCCCCAAAATTTAAGGGAAAGTTTTACAGCGTTTTTTATGTGTATTGGTTTCTATTTGAGTGTATTGAGAATCGGTCAGTCTGAAAAGGCCTTGTAGGGAAGACAATAGGTTTGTTCGTCAAAAATCCAGCGAGAATTATCACTCAAAATATCAGATAGTAAGAAAATATGCTCCCAAATTCTCTTTCATGTAGAGAAACTTGCAACGCAAATTTGCAAGTTTTTCTGCCAGCTAGTGTCCACGGTTGCATTTCAAACAAAAGAAATTTGTACAGAATTTTTGAAATTCTCTCAGAGGGGCCAAAAACAGGATCTACGTGTAT